AGCCCCTGAACCCTTCCAGTTATTGCTTCAGGCACTGTAGCACTGTAGCAGTGTCCTCCCTTTGTTCATTGATTTGCTCGAGAGTGCACCAATAACGTCTCCATTGTGAGACTTATTGTTACTGTTTTTGGCATATCAAATATGCCACGGGGAGCTTGCCAGGCTCTGCCATGCAGGATGGCTTCAAAACAACAGAAATTCACTTTTAAATTAATATGACAATACAAAGTTTAGTACTTCCTTATTTAGCAATCAGTCCAAGGTAAGCAAAGGAAGAATTTCCTTCTGCAGTTGTGTATCTAGCGGACACTTTCATATATCATAAAATGCATATCAGTGCGTGTCGAAATGAATAACAGCAGACCGATCAGAAAATTCATTAAGGGAAGGCACTAGGAGCTGTAGTCAGGGCATCTAAGAAGAATGATCTCACATGGTTTAGGAATTTATTCAAAAAGACTTGAACTAGATTGTGAAAGATTTTGAAAAAGGGACTGATTATTTAACAAAATGTGTAGAAATATGGAGCTATTACAAGAATTTAAAGCAAGGGCATAATATACCAGCACTTTGCAGTTCTGTTGGAGGAATATTTGATAAAGTGAATTGAGTGAGGCTATATGAAAGTTTCTGGTTGGTTTATTTTTTGTTTGGGGCTACACCCAGCTATACTCAGGGCTTGCTCCTGGATCTGCACTCAGGAGTTTCCCCTGATTGTTCTAGAGAGACCATCTAGGATGCCAGGACTCAACCCAGGTTGGGTGTATGCAAGGCAAACACCTTACCCTCTGTAATATGTGTATGGGCCCTATGTGAAATCTTTTGTAGCAGGCTAGATGTGAGCTAAAGTGGGCATGCATTTGAGGGTATGGAAGTTTTGGGAGTGAGAGATTTTAGGGAAATTATAGAATTTAGTTTCACTATAGCATGGCATTTTGAATAAGACACATGAATTTTGGTAATTGGGAGCCAAACAGTAGTACTGAAGTTGGAAAACTTCTTTTGAGGAATTAGGAAGAAATTTAAAGAATGTCATAGCTTTACATACCAACTGAAACTAGTTATTTCCATTGGACTTGTAATTTTCTTAGCAACCCCCAAAATTGATGTTAATTATGTTCATATTTTCCAATTAAGAAAAGAGGCACAGATGTTACAAAGAACTGAAAGTCACATGGTTAAGTGAAGGTAGCAAGATTCAAACACAGGCTTTTCAGTCTATAGGATACTTGTCTCATTTTTAATTGGAGAAGTAGCTTACCCACTGTGCTCTCTGATTAACTCCCTAATTATTTGTTTTCATCATATTCAGGTTATACCTCCTACCTCCAAGAACTTGAGAACAGCCAGTCTGTGTTGTTTTGATATATCTGCAAAACTTAGCACAGTGCTTGCCAAATAGTAGCTCCTCAGTAAATAACTACTGTGATTTCTTGCTTACAAGAACAGAGAAAGAAAAAATAAGTCACAGAGTTTATGGTAGAAAAGTAGTCTCTCCATGTCACTCCTTGTCACCATCAGTCATAGTTCCTTGATTTTCCTTGAAGTACCATATATCCAAGCTTTCTAACCTATATGCAACATTAGTGGTGGTGCTCAATGTGAGGAGTTTGTATAACCACTGAATATTCCAAAATTTGCAGAAAATTCTGACATAATGTAAAATGCAGTGTAGCACTGTCCTCCTGTTGTTCATTGATTTGCTCGAGCGAGCACCAGTAACATATCCATTGTGAAACTTGGTACTGTGTTTGGCATATTGAATACATCACAGGTAGCTTGCCAAGCTTTGCTGTGAGGGCGAGATACTCTCGGTAGCTTGCCAGGCTCTCCGAGAGGGGCAGAGGAATTGAACCCGGGTTGGCAGTGTGCAAGGCAAACACCCTACCTGTAGGTCTAACACTCCAGCCCATAATGTAAAATAGACCAAGAAAAATCTGAGAAATTACTTTTTCCTCTTCTTTACTACTTTCCCCCTCTAAACTGTAATGGAAATAGATGAAATACTAAGTTTCACTTGTTGAATGAGTTAATTTAATTACTCCTACTAGAATCCTGTGATGTGTATGTTTGCTTGGCTTTTACTTGATTCTTAGTACTTCATTTTAATTTGGCACTGGAGTAACACTGACCAAAACAGAAAGACACGTCTCTGTATTGGGCCTTCCCCACCTCCCCAAAAAACATTCTGACCTTCCATCTGGTTATTTTACCTCTAAATCATAAAAAATAATGATTCATTTATTAGTGGAGTTTAGTGAACAACTAGAAAACACTGTTCTTCCTGTTCTGATATGCACTTTGAACATTCTTTTGCCAATAGGCTACACATAAGTATTAATTCCCTGTTTACTATAAAGGCCCTCCCGTTGATCGTCGATTTGCTCGAGCGGGCCCAGTAACGTCTCCATTGGAGACTTTGTTGTTACTGTGTCTGGCATATCGAATACTCTCGGTAGCTTGCCGGGCTCTCCGAGAGGGGCGGAGGAATCGAACTCGGGTCGGCCATGTTGGCTGCGTGCAAGGCGAACGCCCTACCGCTGTGCTATCACTCCAGCACTATGAAATTGATAATTGAATTTGTTCCGCTCTCCTCTCCTTAGGTGGAATAAAGCCCATGAACTCCTTTTTTTTTGGAATTAATTTTAGTACAAATGCTTTGCAGATGATAATTTTAATTTTGTATGTTTCTTTTACATCCCTGCTTTCTACTTGCATTTTCCAATGATGATTTGAAGACTTACCTTATGTTTTTGGATATGTATATTTATTGTCGTCATTTTGAGATCTAGTTTAGGCATTATGGTTACTGGTTACTACCTACACAAACATACACACACATATAAATGCTTGTACATAGGCATGTGTGTGTGTGTGTGTGTGTGTGTGTGTATGTTTGTGGACCACACTCAGTGGTGCTCAGAGCTTACTCCTATCTCTTTGATTAATTAGGATTGAGTGATTAATTGATGGTGCTCTCAGGGAACATATATGGCGCCAAAGATTGAACTTGGGTCAGCCTACCTTTATGGCAAGAGTTTTACACACTGTGCTATTTCTCCCACCCTGGTTATAATATTGCCAGTGTTTATGCTTTTGAAATACACAGTTACTGTGTCTCACCACCATTGAAGTTATGTATGTTTAGAAATATATTATTTAGCATCCAGATCTGTATAATCTATTGAGTACTATGTGTTTAGTTGTGTATACATATATGTGTGTGCATATATATAAAACATTGTATCATTTATTATAAACTTGTAAATAATAAATATTTTAATCATCTGAAATAGGTAATTTCAAATAATTAGACAACCTTTTCGAATTTTAGCTATCTTTGTAAAAAACAACATAGATATTGGCCAGAGAGACAGTACAATAGGTAAGGAACTTTCTGTGCATAATATCGACCCAGGAGCTATCCCTAGCACCCCATACGGTCTCCCAAGCACCACCAGGAGTGACTTCTGAGCACAGAGCCAGGTATAAGCTCTAAACCCAGCTAGGGTAGCCTAAGAAAAATTAATAAAGACAAAAATTTAAAATAATAATATTTTAGTGATTTAAGTGTAGTTCTGGGTTATATAAATAATTTTGGCAAAAATATAATTTTGTATTTCTTCACCCTCCAACATTAAAATTTTCCATTATTATCAACCTGCCCTCATTCTGGTATCTATTCATTTGATGGGCCAGTAATGGTGCAGTATTATTAAACTTATTATTTACATTAGGCTTCACTTTTTGTGTAATATAGTCTATGGCTTTGACAAATATATGTATTTATTTACTAGTATTGCTTTATACTAAATACCCTGAACATCCCAGTGTTCTATCAATCATCTTTGTAATAGAGATCATAATAGCTGAGAGATGAAATGCTTTTCCAAGGATCACTTAACACCCCGAGTGTGGGAGCTGTTTTGCCTACTTTGAATCAGTACCCTTAACTCATGTGCTGGTCTGCTTAATTTATGTCATGGTTATTTAATCATTTAAAGAATCTTAATCTGGTAAAGTCCTTGCTAAATTTGACTAACTTTATGCAAGGATAATATATGTAGGGAGAATTTTGCGTTTTTGCTTTCCTGTCTTTCCATTTTAAATTAAAATGCTATGAGTAATTATTCAGGAAATAGTACGTGAATTTTAGAATATTTGATAAGACTTAGAAAATAAAGAGGACCTACTGTCTGATATAGCAGTATTCAAATCAAATAAGAAAAAAGAAACAAGAAACTTACTTTTGATCATTTGCTTAAAGGGAGCTAGAGATGTCAGATGATACAGCTGTGTGCTACCTGTTAGAATTGAGTGCTTACAAAAAGATGTGGCAGCTGATCGATATTTTTTTTTAAATGAGTGAATGGACAGAAATGAGGGGATTTATGGTAGAAGGAATCAAAGTTACAACAAGTAAAATCACTTCCTTTTAACCTGTATCACAGCTAAGTCTGTAGCTAGGAATATGACCTAGCTTTAGATTAAATCCTGGATTAGTATATACTTTTGCCCTGAATGACAGAGCAAGGTAATAGTCAATAAATCATGATTTAATTTTATCAAACATAAAATGTGTAATTAGTAGAAAATAATTTCAAAAGTTAAATATTATAACTCTTTACAATGAAGATGGATAGGAAGAAAACCAAGGGGAGAAAATAGAACAAATTATATATTTCCCACCATTCATCTAATCCTTTTGAAACGCTCAAAAATCTTTCTCCACCCTGTAATCTTATCTCTTCTTTTCCTAGCCTCATCTCTTTGAGCTTCTTGGATTCTCTCTCATGATCTATTCTTCTAATCTTGCTGTTTCCCAAGAATCTGATTTGTCTTCTCTTACAACATACTCTCTTTGAACATCTATATTTAGATAAAAATGAAATATATTTCTTTATGTTTATCGAGTAGACAGTGAGTACTTGGTTTCGACCCAAAGATGAAAAATCCCTCATGATCCACTGCTGAATCATCCGTTTTCTCTGTTTTTTAAGGGTCGTAAGAGTGAGGCTGAAAAATTCTTCTTGAAGGCTATTGAGCTGGATCCCACCAAAGGAAACTGTTACATGCATTATGGTGAGTGGTTGGTAGTTTTTTCCATGTCCCCCATATTTGCTATGTATGTTGCTATGAGATTTAGATTTTTCTGGCAAAGAACATTTTCAGAGGACACTGCCTTTGTGGCTGCAGAGTTAGTGATTTATCCATGTTGTCTTCTTTTAAACAGTCACATTAAGACGGCATGAATGTTATATTTCATTAGTAATTTTTTATTGGACATCAAAGGGAAAGGAATTTTCACAGTTTTCTTTTTCCAGGTTTAGTCTGTAGTTTAAACATGGTCTTTTTCATAAGAAAGCATCTTGTTCCTTGCATGATGCATAATACATAATCAAAATACTGGCTCTTTCCATTCTAAACATTGAATTTATCTGTTTCAAGTTTTAAAATATCATATTTTGTTCTCAAATTCTTCCTTTCTGTAAGATAAGGATGTACACACTTTCTAAAAGTGATATTGATGTCATGGATAAACTGTTAAAAGGTGTAAATGATGTTCCCTACATTCAGTTTAGCCTTACTCAGTTTAGAATGAACCTACATAACAATTCTGTCACATTCCAATCTATTATTAGTAATGAGTCACATGTTTTTTGGGGGGGGTAGAGAATACATCCAGTTTGGTATTGAGTAAGATGTACCAGTTTTGCAGTTGACTAAGTGGTCAAAAATCATTCACTCTGGACAATTCCTTGGTGTAAAAAAAAAAGTGTTTTCTTGGGCCATTTTTAGCTTCACTGTACAGTTATTATCAAGTAGTAAACTTTAAATGCTGATGGAAATTAAATCTTGAGAAAATAAAGCCTTTTTTTTTCATTTTGGATCATGTCCAGCACTGTTCAGGGTTTACTCCTAGCTCTGCATTCAGGAACTACTCCTGCCAGTGCTCAGTGTGCCATATGGGATTCTGGAATTTAAACCTGGATCAGCTGTGTGCAAGGAAAATGCCCTACATGCTGTACTATCACTTCATCCCCCTAAAACTAATATCTTTCTAATACATTTTTTACTTTCACATTTCAACTAATAAAACTAAATCACTGAGTATAGAAAATGAAAACAGACCAGAGATAGTATAGTGAGCAAGGCACTTGCCTACCAAGCAGCCAAGCCCGGTACGAATCCCTGGTACTATCTGGTCCCAAGATCTTCATGGGGAATGATTCTTGAGAACAAAACCAGGAGTTGACATTGAGAACAGCCAGATGTGACCTCCAATGCCCTCCCAACCAAAAAAGGATAAACATAGAATATAGAATATGTTTAACCATAATTCCATTACTATGTAAGTATTGTGTGTTGGGGCCAAACCTAGCAGTGCCCAGGGGCTGATCCTAGCTCTTTGCTCGGGTATCTCCTCTGATGGTGTGCTATGGACCATATGTAGTGCCAGAGATGGTACTATTTGTCACCATGTGGAAGGCAAGCACCTTAGCCTCTGTGCTGTCTCTCTGGATTCCATTTATGCATTTATGTTTTGTGTATATGTTTGTAAACGTAGGATTCTGTTACTTTATATTTTTAACCTAATGCAGTATATAATTTTATGCTGCATATTGTATCATCACCCCAGGTTTGTTTCACAATATGGTTTTTAGTGCTGTGTTCAGATAGCAGTAAACTAATTTGTATTCACCATGTAATACATTTGATTTGTACAGGTCTTCTTATCTGAAGTAATTTAAAGTAGATATTTTCCCTTGCATAAAATTTCAAGTTTCCCTGCCATGCATGGTAGCAGTTCCCCTAGCATTTTCCCTGAGCCCTAATGCACCTCTTACCATAAAATTCATTTCAGTGTCATTCTTTTATCTTGCTGCTTGTAATTCTTTTGTCTGAAACCAATTCTACTTACTGCATCTTCTAATGTTGTTTCTCATTAATTTATTATATCCTTTTTTTTGGGGGGGGGAGAAGAGGTGGGGGCCATGCCTCATGGCTGTCTTATAGAAGGCAAGCCCCTTTACCCTCTTACCATTACTCCAGCCCCTTCACTGTTTCTTTTCAGAATACTCATTGCTTCATTTGCATTTCAATTGGGGGAAAAGCACTATTGTATTAATTGGGTGATCTAGCCCCCTTAATTCTCTGACTTCTTTTTACCCTCTTCACTTTCCAAACTATCATTATTATTTTTATATTACATTAAAGTCCTGTATTCCTTTCCTTTTGTGGAAGTTGGGGATATTTCTTCCATAATAGATGTTTTGGATTTAATTTTAACAGAAGAAGCAAGAAAGTTTTAATTTTGCATGTTATTTAAAATGAAGTGATAGCACATGTTCTGTAACTGTATGTGTAAAATCTGATTCTTCTTACTTCTGGGATATTTTAAGATTTTTGACATGTATGCATCATTGGAACTATATTCATTTCTCGAAAAAAAGAAATTACTGCATGATTCAATATAGTTTTATGAAATGGTATCAATAACTGTTGCTCTTGAAAAACTAATTTCATTTTAAAGTAGGAAATGGAAAGGTCTCAAAGTGAGGCTTCAGAAAGTAGTGGTTAAGGTACAATTACCCACAGACAGGAAGCCCATAATTGAGTGCTCAGTATTCTTTTTTTCATTTTTACCTTACAGAATAGGTACATTTAAAAGGATATTGGTAACTTTCATTTGAAGAACCTCTACTTCAAATGCATGAATTTTCGATCTTGAGAAAAGTTTTCAAATTAACTCCCATATTTCTTGTAAAATCGGCACATTGAAACAGAAATAGGGATGCCTTGTTAAATTTAGTTGTAAGTAGTTCATTATTGGGCCAGAGCAATAGCACAGCGGTAGGGCATTTGCCTTGTGTGCAGCTGGCCGGCCTAGCCCAGTTCGATTCCTCTGCCCCTCTCGGAGAGCCCAGCAAGCTATCGAGAGTATCTTGCCCGCACAGCAAAGCCTGGCAAGCTCCCCATGATGTATTTGATATGCCAAACAAAGTAACAACAAGTCTCACAAAAGAGACGTTACTGGGCCCGCTCGAGCAATTCTATGAGCAATGGGAGAACAGTGCTACAGTGACAGTGCTAGTTCATTATTTGGGGGGTCTCTAAATGACTATCATTGCTTGTTTCTGTAAAGTTTATTTTTTACATCATTAAGAGATAAACATATAGTTAGATGGATTGGTAAATCTTTTTGATTAGTAGCTTCTTTTGCACACAAATTTAGATTGCCAATTAATATAAGCCTATGTATCTTAAAATCATAGAGAAGGGTTTTTATTAATTTTGGTGTTGGGATCACACCTACTTTTTGCTCAGGGCTTACATCTGACTCTTTCTTCGGGGATGACTCCTGGTGGGACTCAGAAAACCATATGGGGTGCCTTGTATTCAAACCAGGGTCAACCATATTCAATATAAGAATCTTACCTCATATATGATCTCTCTGACCTGAAATTTTATTCATTTAAATACAGGTAAGAGGTTTCTAATAACTGCCATTTTTAGGCAATGAGTAGTGCTATGTTAGAAATAAGTAGGTACATATTGTTGTAGAAGGTGGTGAGTGGAGAAGTGGCGTTTTCTTTGAAACTAGGTTATGAGGTGACAGATCTTAAAGGATGTGTTTTAAATCTAAACCTAATATGTTATTTGAAGATCCAGGTAAGAGACTGTGAGACAGCAAAAAAGAGAAAGTTCAGAAAATCATAGTAAGAACAAGCTTTATTTCACAGGAGAGGAAGAAGGTCGATATGAATAAGCTTTGCTAAACTAGTTGAACTAGATGGGAAATTCTATTCTAACAGCAATGAAAGAGGTGAAAAAAACAAGACTAGAGAAGCAAAGAAGTTCCATTGCTATGATTTAGACAGAAGATGGGGATAGCTTTGGACATTGCAGTGGTTATAAGAAGTATATATTTTAGCATTGTCCATTTCATGAGAAAATTCATAGATAATTAAGAAGAGAATACCTGTTTTGCATCCTCTGGCATTCTGCCATATTTACACTATGTGCAGGGAAAGCTGGTTAAGCTCAGTTTTTGGATAAGCTCCATTTTAGGATTGGATAGAGGCTCCAAAATTGACTGAAGTTTGTTTTATAATGATTTTTATTATTCTTGTCCAAGAAGATATACACTGTGAATTGCATATCTTTGCCAGTTCGCAAGTTATGGATATTTTTAGGGTATTTACACCCATGAACTGAATGAATAATTTCTTTCTTAGTTTAAAAATAAATGTTTAAATGAAACATACATGTTATTTTGGGTCTTTATTTTAATGCATTTGCAAATGCCAATGAAAATGCCAGAGTGGGTGTTTCAGCTTATGGAAATTTATCCTCTTGGAAAACTATGTGCTTTTGATTTGCTTATTTAAGATACTGGAGACTTGGAAAATACTCTCCAGTGGAGACAAGATAGAGTAAATTATAGGAGTTTATATCAGCTGCAGTGGTAATTGGAAAGGCAGTATTTTAAAGCACTATCAGTTATTTGTTTTTTGAGTCCACTAGTTTTGTGTCACAGGGAGGAAAGGGTAGCTTGTAATTGGTCATTTGGTCTTCATATCGCTTGCAAGAAAGCAAGTTAGGGGATTTATATGACCGATTCAAAAAATTGGTTAAATGTAGGGCTTTATGGAACCTATAATCTCTTGGAATACTCATTTGTACAGTGAAGACTTTCAAAATTTTTTCCAGCATCAGTTTTAATGGTGTTCCAAATATATATATTCAATTTCTCACTTGTCTATCACCAGAAACTTTAGGGATTATGTAGAAATTATTTTTGAACTAAGGTGTCAGTAGGAGAGTAAAGTTGTGTCCATATGACATCCAGCTTTCAGTGTGCTACCACGTTTGTATGAATTTTGGTGGAATATAGTTCAAAATGTTAAAGATTGGAATTTGAGGTCTCAGTGTCTCCTGTGGGTCTATAATTCCATAAAAACCTTCAACAGAAACATTATGACTTTATTAGGGGTTTCTTCTCAAAAGATAAAAGGAAAGGCAAGAAGTTCATTCTTTAAAAAAAATGAGGAAAAACTTCCTGTCAAAAAAGACTATGC